TGATTCAGAATTTGCATCGTAAAAAGCTCTGCGTGGAAGATTGTCAAAACACTACATCTGCAAAATCCATCCCTAGGATTGGCTGTTTTTGTTTAGTGATCACAACAAGTTAAGACGAAACGGTCTCCAGCAGCAGAAATATGACCGTCTCCCCTCCCTACTCAGTGCATTGTACTGCTGTCAGCACTGTCACTTCAACAGAATATGAGAAAAGGGAGGGAACGGGCTGATTTAAATACAGTGCGGGAAACTAAGCTGTAGGCCACTCCCAGTTCTTTTAAAAGCACATCCGGACGCGAGGGAGCGCTAGCCAACAATGTGCCTTCGCTCCCTGACAATGAAACATACCTAAATACCAACTCGCATGTACTTTTAAACCGATTATTATAATACTACAGTGGCTTTTTATCCGCATATGTCGTCCTTTGTTGTTACAAAACAGCAAGGGGCCAGCTAAGCGGGGGTTGCGCGTTTACTTCAGCGCTCTCAGCTGAGATCCTGTTCGCTCTGCTGGCTCGAAATAAACCAGCCGCAGTCAACAAAACATAAGTCAAAACCTCGAAAACAAACTACTTGTTCCCATCCAAGGGGTACCATTTTGCCTGCGCAAATTAATACGTTTAAACGATGCTGACGAAAATGAGATTCACGTCACGCCACACCAATCCAGCCACACAGGAAAATAAACAGCCCGACGTTAGCTTATTTGTTTTTCTTAAAGAGAAGCAGTGAAGTTGCAAAGCTAACTCGGTTTACACATTTTTTGCAGATTATGTGGACGTTCCGAAGGATAACAAGTTAAAAGTTCACAAGTTCATCGCCCACCCATATCAGTGCTTAAAGCAAACCACGTTACAATTTATTTTGCAGAGCTTTTAAATACTATATTAGCAAAAGGAAGCCAGAGTACAGTCAATAGCTCTAATACTGTCCCGAAGATTATCAGATTTGACTAATTTTGACGTTTACACTTGACTGGTTGAGTAACTTGGTGCAATAAGCCAAAAAGAAAGGAGGTAGGACTTTGCCAAGTTAGCTAACCTCAGTTTGCTAGCAACTGGGTGACTAAATCAATGAGAACAATTTTTAAAAAGTAATTAAAAAACGCTGAAATTCACTTTACCTGTTTGTCCGTCCAAGCAAAAACAAGAAATTTACTTTTGAGGGAAAACGTGCACGTTTTCCCCAATTAACTCCTTAGAAGGGATGGCACGACCAATTCTATGCCTTGGTGGAGATTGATCAATGAGTTATTCTTCAAGACTTTGATATCCCGCCTGCTCTCGCACTTCAGGTTCACCATTGGCTACTTTCCTCTAACCACATCGTGTCCATTGGGTAACAGCGCTGTCAATCTGGAATGTGACTGGATCTTATCATCAGCGCGCGAAACGACAATCTCGTGAGTACAACTGCCCTCCGAGTATTTATCGCGAGATTATTCGGCGCCATGTAAAACCGGTATCCCGGAGAGACAGATGGTGCTTCTGGTAAACAACTTCACTGATAGAGCTTTTTGATTGTGTCTGAACTATCACGGCTTCGTATTTGTGTTTAGAAATAGTTTCCAGTCTTCAAACTAATCAACTAAATGCATTGAACCTTTTGGTGGACTTTAATAAGCAGACCACCCGTTAGACTCCTATGATTCAGCTTAATTAATGATGTGCAATTAAGATACCTCCCCCTCATTTTGGCGGGAGCCGAAAGTTAATGAGACCAACTCAGTTAAAGCGCCTGAAAGCATGGAAAATGACAAGTGTATGTGGGAGGAATATGTGCTTTTGCGCACACTTGAGGCATGCTGTTTGTTTGCCTTTGAACTTGACACGTAAATAGCCTCCACTGTGCAATAAACTCCGTCCTAAAGCGCGGTTTATGTTTGTTCAGTATGGAGTAATGCGTTTGAGGTCACCTTCTGACCAACTGATCTGTGTATATGGCCATGACGTCAATCTTTAATAGTCAATTAAAAGTATTTATTTTAATGTTTCAAGATTATTTTTCCTAGTTCCCGTTAAGGCACGATTTATTGTCTAACCCAAATCTCTTTTAATCACTTTAAATAAATGAGATGGGAAAAAATGCAGTGCTGACAAATATCTTTATTACCACATATTAGATATTTCTATTAAAAAAAAAAAAAGCACTATGTGCAGGTTGCAAAATAAACTACAATACATGTGAAATATAAATAAATTCCAGTCAGTAGCGGGCATAATTATTTCTGTCCATCAAGTTTCTTCTACTTAACGAGTTCAGGGTTGTAGGGGGATGAGGCTATCACAAGGCAGAGGCTGGGTACATCCTGGACAGGCTGCCAGTCTGACACAGAGTCTTACATTTATATATACAGACAATTTAGAATCATAAAGCCCAACCCACGCGTTTTTGGACTGTGGGAGGAAACCAGAGTACTTGGTGAGAACCTACGCAGCCGCAGTCAAACTTCATACAGAGAAGGGCCCACTATGCTAGGGGAAAGGGGGGGAGGGGGGATTTTTTTTAAAAACAAAGGGTGGTAAGTGAAGCAAGCCATAAGGAAAACACAATACAACCAGCAGAACAAGTAAATAACACGAGCAAAGCAACTGAAACTATACATGGAAAAAAAAAACAGAAAGCAGAAGTTAACACAACTGGAACCAGTTCCTCCTTTGAATGTGATAAAAACAAGAAAATTGACTACTTTGAAGATTCTTTATTTTGACAGATGTTTTAAAAATCTAAGATGCGTTGCCACAAGACCCAGAAATGTGAAAAGTGTTAGATATACACCAGCATACAAAGCTGAATTTTTGGTGAAAGTTTTACTTGCACTTTGTGATAACGACAGTCAGTTAAAAGCCAACTGCTCTAAAAGAAGCAGATAAAATCTTGCATTTAAGAGGTCAGAATGTTACCCTACTTACTACCCTAGTTCTTGAATTGTACTGTAGTCACAGGTGTTTTAAACTTTCTCTTATAGCTCATTTCTGTTCTGCATTTGCACCCATTCCCTCTTCAGCAACATTGCGCTGCCACCAGTTGCTGGTTTCAGTGGGATGTTGCACTGCTATAGCAACCACTATTGACACAGTTTGAGAATCTATGGAATGGATCAGTATGATTACAGGGAGGAAAAATCTTTTTTTTTTAAATAATATTTTAAAATAATGTCAACAAACTTTTCTACCCTTTTTAAATCAAATTTAGTCTATATACCTACAGTGGTGTCAAAAGTGTTTCCCCCCTTCCTGATTTAATATTTTTTGTCATGTTTCAGATCTTGAAACATTTAAATATTAGACAAAGATAACATGAGTAAACACAAAATGCAGTTTCTAAAAGAAGGTGTTTATTATTAGGGAGCGAAACCAAATCTACATGGGCCTGTGTGAAAAAGTTATTGTCCCCTAAACCTAGTAACTGGTTGGGCCACCCTTAGTAGCAACAACTGCATCAAGTGTTTGCAGTAATTGGCAATGAGACTTTTACAGTGCTATAGAAGGATTTTGGCCCACTAATCTTTGCGAAATTGTTGTAATTCAACCATACTGGAGCAGGAACTGCCTTTTTAAGGTCGTGCCACAGCATCTCAATCAGATTCAAGTCAGGACTTTGCCTAGGCCACTCCAAAGCCATATAGAGGTGGACTTGCTGGTGCATTTTGGATAATTGTCCTGCTTCAGAACCCAAGTGCGCTTAGGCTTGAGGTCACAAAAAGGTGGCTGGACATTCTGCTTCAGGATGATTTAGTAGATGGCAGAATTCTTGGTTTCATTTATCACAGCAAATCTTCCAGACCCTGAGGCAGCAAAAAGGCCTAAAACCATATTTTACTGTTGCTATGATATTCCTTTTCATAAATGCGGTGTTGCTTTTAGACAGATGTAATGGGACACAGACCTTCCAAAATCTTTAACTTTTGCCTCATCAGTCCACAGAGTATTTTCCCAAAAGTCTTGGGGATCATCGAGATATTTTCTGGCAAAAGTTCCTTTTGCTCTGCAGAGGTATCTTCTTGGAACTTTGCCATGCAGGCCATGTTTGCCCAGTCTCTTTCTTATGGTGGAGTCATGAACTCTGACCATAACTTAGGTAAGCGAGGCCTGATGTTCTCTGGATGTTGTTCTGTGGTCTTTTGTCAACTCTTGGACGAGTCGTCACTCAATCCAACAGATGCGCTCTTGGGGTAAATTTGGTTGGCCACCCACTCCCACTAATGGCGATCCTATTTAAGTGATTTTCTGATTGAGAACAGGTGTGGCAATAATCAGGCCTGGGTTTGGCAGGAGAAATTGAACTCAGCTTTTCAAAGTTATGATACACCACACTTATTCCCCTGAATAATAAAAACCTTGATTTAGGAACTTCATTTTGTCTCTATTTGTGTTTAAATTTGATGATCTGAAATATTTAAGTGTGACAAACATGCTTCTAGAAAACTTTGTGAACCAGGTCATTAGATTAGTTTTAGAGTAAATATTATTCATGGTATTTGATCGGTTTTCATTGTAATGATTTCCATTTTACAAATGTTTAGTTCATTAAATAAACCCATGCTGAGCCACTTTTTGAAAATAATCACTTAAAAATCTTCAGAAGCTGTTTACTATATCACGTATGAGAAGCACAGAGAGGCTACCACAGTGTCCCATGAAATGCAGGGCTTTTTTTCTTTTAGATTATTTGAGTGTCTTAGAATTTAATTTTAATAAACAAAATGAGCATTTTTTTAAAAAAAAAAACTTTTTTTCACTTCTTAATCGTTCATGAACATCTCTCTGTCTTCTGCACAGTCCCCACTCTTGGGAGAGGAAATGAAGGAATAATGTTTTTCCTTTTCCTCTAAAGTCCCCTTACAAAGGGTCTTCCCCTTACACTGGTGGTGCAGCTGCAACTCCCAGGAGTGAATGTGTATGACTCCATAAACACGTAGCAGAGTTCTTGTTGAAAAAGTCCATCCCAGTATTGTAAACGGTTGCACACTAAAAGGAAAAGCACTGAGGAACGGCCATTCAGTTGTATGGTGTCTCCGGTGCAGTGGATCCTGGACAAAGCTGCTTGGCCGGCACTGAGCAGCACTCAGAGCTCAGGGAGGATGATAGGAAGTGTACACGGCAAGCCAAGTCATCCAGGAAATCCTTTTGTAACTTTGCTATTGCTTGAGAAAGCACAACGGGCAGCGACTGCACACATTGAAGAATGGAGTCCAGTTTCTTTTCCAGAGCCACAATCCTACTGTCCAGCTCACCACTTCGATGCTGCAGCTCTGATACCAGATCGTACATCATGTTCTGAGTCTGAAATCATCACCAACATGCTGAGGTCACTTTCAAGTATCAGGAGATAAGCAAGTCAGGGTTTCTCACTGTTTAGATTATTATAAAAGTCATAAAATGCAGAAAAGATAATGAAAAAGAGGCAAAATGTGGTTCATACTGGATAAAAATTACAATTCCTTGTGTCAAATTACTCTCAGCATCAGTCAGAGGGTAAAATTTCCTATTATATATTAGTAAAACTGAGGCAAATAAAAACGTTTGCACAAACCTTTGCAAGATCAGCAACTGTATTGGCCTGGTCAGTTAATTTCCTTTGCTCCATTTTCACTCGTCGCAGTCTAAAGTTGTAAACCAAAACTATAGTCACATTTGTGCTACAATAATATAAATGCAACATGCAGTAAATCCTAATTCACATAATCCAGAGCCACAAATTAAACTGTAACAGCATTTACTGAAACCCCTGATGGTGGCATAACGATACCTACTGGTGGATGGCTTGCAAGAATTTACGCTGATGGTGGCGTACTCTGGCATGGTCAATCTTCTTGACCAGCTTTGTGTTTTTGTAAATGAGCCATGTCTCTCTCAACACATTTGCTGCTGTGTTCTTGATCTGTGGAAGTATGTCAATGGAAAGGCAAAACAGAAATGTAGAGACATAAATGAAGCTTAAGTCAAACAGAAACTAAAATGAGCCTGAGTACTATAGGAAAGTCTTGAGCAATCCCTCATTTCTTTATGTTTTTCTGTGAAAACCTGCACGGAAATGCAGTGTTTAAAGAATAAACAGAGTTTGTACATTTCTAATGACCTGAAAAGTCAACATTTAGTATGACAATGCTAATTCTACAACAGAGATTAAACTGGCTTTAGGCAAACTTTCTCACATCTTCTTTGAGAATCTTTTAGAAATATTTCTCCAGGCCTCTTGACAGACTTTTAAACCTCTCCTTTAGATGTTGGCTGCTTTTTGTTATCATGATGATCCCACACTGTTTCAATAATGTTGAGGTCCAGGCTCTGAGGAGGCCAAAGTATGATATTGTTCCACTTCTATTGTTCACTTTTTTTTAGTGCATTTGTATTGTGTTTGGGATCATTGTCATGCTGAAAAATGAATCACATGCTTTCCAGATAGTATCAAAATCGGATGGTACTTTTCTGCCTTTCATAATTCAATCAGTTTTAACAAGACTGCTGGCTGAATTGCAGCCACAAGCCATGACAGAGCCTCAACCATGCTTAACAGATGGCTGTGGACACTCACTGTTGTATCTCTTTACTGACCTCTGCTGAATATATCGATGACACTTTAAATCAAAAATTTCAAATTTGGGTTAATCACTCCATAAAATCTGTTTCCACTGATTTTTAGTCCAGTTCTTGTTAAATTTGTTACACTTCAGTCTTTTCTCCTCATTTCTCTTCCTCAAGAAAGACTTCTACGGGTAGCTGCAATTAAACCCCTTTCTACTGAGATCATTTCTGAGGCTTCACTTAAAAGTAGATGATTAGATGATAGGCTAGATGAATATCACCTGAGCTCTTTCCTAGATTTTTGCCCTATTTCTTAAAGACATTGCTTTGAGATACATTTCAACTGTTAGTTTTGTTTTTTAGGCCTACCACTTGTTCTTTTGTTATCCCAAAAACTTAAGTTCACACTTCATACCATGCTAAGACATGACAAATTTTCAGTAATCGCCTTGTTGGGATTGTTGGGAATCACCTCGTTGGAGCAACTTTAAAAAAAATCTAATTGGAGGAAATTGAGGGTGGCTCAAGACTTTTGCGCAGTAGTGTATATGGTTAAAAAAGAGAAAGTGCTGTTACTTTTAAGACTGATCATGTAGTCTTAATATTAAAAATAAAGTCCAATCACTGCATGTGTAAGAACACACCTTTTTGTAGATTTGGGTATCCATCATAAAGTTGTGGACATGTTTCTCAGCTCTGGTGAGTTCTGATTTTCTTGCGACAACGGCCACGACTAAGGCTGTACAACCTGCTCCCTGATGAGAAGAAGAGAAGTGTTAGCATGACTGTGTTATTAGTTAGTAGTTAGCTAGTATAAAAACCACACCAATCATTCACGTAGGCCAGGATTTTAAAGGATTTTTAAACAGATATTTAATTGGGGTTATTCAGAAAAAAATCACTGTGAGTGATTTGCATATCTGCCTCTTCTCTACATGTGCACTGTGTTGGTATAAAACTCACCATAATTCCAGTTAACAGGCAAACCCCTTTTCCACAGTAGGTGTGAGGGACCATGTCCCCATAGCCGATGGACAGGAAGGTAATGGAGATGAGCCACATTGCTCCAAGGAAAGTGCTGGTTACTTCCTGTGCATCGTGATACCTATTTAAACATGACACCTGTCTGTAAAAGCAGTTTATGTTAAAGCTGGAGAGACTACCCTTGATTTAAGTTTCTTTCATTTTTATCCAGCATTTGTTTAACGCTGAAAATCTTCTTGATGATTTTTAAGTAACACATTTTTAAAAAAAAACAAAAACCTTTAAGATACCTTTCACAAACACGCACTGTCCACGCAGCAATGATCCAACAGGACACACTGAAGACTAGCAGCACTGTGCCAGGACAGATGGTCATTAGGGTCTTCATGACAAAACGAGTGTCAAAGTTGATCTTATTGAGTGCACCGATGCTGCGAGAGGAAGCGTCTGTGAACAGCTTGCTGTGCAGCAGCATGACCCGGCCAATCAGGTAGAGGCGAAGGAACATCGGCACAGAGAGGATGATGTCTACGTCGGCGTATGCCACCGATGCTGCATAGCTGAAGGCCAGTCGAGTCGTCCAGGTGAACACGTATTTCCCTGGGATTGGATGAATGGCACAGATGAGGAGCTCCAACACGATGAAGACAAGTCGCTCAAAAGTCATTGCTATCCTCCAATCGTCAGCCCCGTTGTCCACCATGAAGAGCTGTTGAAGAAAAGTAGCAACATTTCTAGACCGTGAATATGAAAGAATAATGAGTGATGAACTCGTTTTGTTGGGATTACAGTTTTTTGTTTTGTTTTCTTAATTTGGATAATTCTGACGAGATAAAAATGAATGTTTTATCTTCTGGTGTTTCTCAAAGAGACAATTTTAAATATATTTTTGGGGGTATTTTAACTTTTATCGTTATAGGATAGTGGAGAGAAGAGCTTGGATAAAGACACGTAGTAAATGGCCTCTGGGGAGATTTCAGGTATGTGGGTTGTCTGCTCAACCCCTTGAGCTAAACCAATGCTCCAATTCAGGGGGTTTTAAGACTAGTTTCCTTACTTCACGTGAATTATCTGATCCAAATGATAACGCAGCTCATGTTGGCAAAGTCATGGTTTGTTTCTTCATACCTGGATTTCCCTTGCATGGTACATCACAATGAGTCCCAGCAGAATAGCAGTAGAAATGCTGATCAGGCCTTTTAGAACATATGAATACATGGATTCCTGTAAATGGTAGAGACAATGACACAAAACTATTAAACTAATAAAAAGAAGACCATCTGTGAGTAAAACTGTTTAGGGGGCCCTCAAAGTTAAAACTTTTAATGGCACTATGTTGACGCCGCTTTCATTTGTTTGTTGAAACACATTTATTTGGAGACACTGGTGTTTCTGCTCTGAGTGTACCTTGGTGTAAAATCCCCTTGACAGCTCCGTCTCGATGACCATGACAATAATGCCAAACATCCCACAGACCAAGGCGTAGTCGCTCAGTTGTTTGCGCTTCCCAAACAGAGCTCTCCTCTGACCCAGCCTGTAGCTGATATCCTTGGTCTTCTTCGGTGGTGTGCTACCTTCCTCACCGTTGGTCTTACTGGAGTCTTCTCGGATGACTTTGGAAAAGGCGTCCTCCAGGATGGCACTGTGAAGAAGCTGGATTGGCTGCTGGCCTGAAGGAAGATCTGAAAAACTAGATCTCAAAGTGCCATGGCTGCTCAGGGGTCGGACTGCATCCCCGTTAAGTATGCCACTGCTTTGTAAGGCTTCGGGAGGCGGAGGAGTGTGTTTAGGAAGGGAGACTTTAGACCCCTGAGAGACTGTCTGCAAAATAAAATAAGACTGTCAACAACAAGCATGTAATATATCTGAAAGCATGTTACAGTGTATGGTTCAGTTAGAATTGGCATGGTATGGAAACACACAGGTTAGCTAAACCTACTTTTGATGGTTCCAATTTAAGTATGAAAACTAAACGTTTAAAGCAGCCGAATCAAAACATGCACCTGACTTTGTCGCTGTCTTGTTTTCTCATCCATTAAATCTTGAATCTCTAGGGAACTATACTGACTGATGGAGAAAGATGTGACACTTTTGTTGCCGACTGGTGTAGACGATCTTTTTATTTGGCTTGTCAGGGAGTCGTGAGGGAGGTGGTGGCACTTGAAGATGGTGGACGGATCTCCAGATGTTTGATCGCCTGCGATCAGGCAGTGGAACTCTTGCTTTCGCTGTTGCTGAACTAACAGCGGCTCTTTACCGAAAAGGTCTCTCCAGTTGACATCTGCACCAGCAGCAGGATGAGGCTGCTTTTGGAGTTTTTGTTTACACTCGACTGAGTCTAGAGGAATGTTGAACAAATTTGTTGCTTGGCTGCTGTCTTTCAGTTTATAATGATTGCAGGGCTGTTCTTTTCCACCTTCTTGGTTAGTGCACTGAGGCATGAAATGATCTTTGAGACGGTTTGTTGCAGGATTCAAAAGCTCACTTTGGTTTGTTTGCTGTAGTAAAACCTGGCAAGTAGTTGAAATGTGGCTGCTGGGAGAGAAAGGCTGAACATGTGGTGAACATAAAAGGCTTCTCTTAGCTGTTACCCTGGGAAGGCAGTCTTGGACCCTGTCCTGTTTTGACTGTGGCTGAAAACTAGAGGCATCAGGACCGGGACATCTACATCTGTCATTGTGGTTTGGATGTCCCACACTGGTGCCTGCTCTTTCTGCTGAGGGCGACTCATCTCCTGCGTTGCCAACATGGCCACAAAGGAGCAGCCAGTCCTCATCGCTTAGCTGCGATAAGGTTAGGTTTCGAGTTTTGAGTGGCGACATCTGGGCTGAACCTCTTGGAGGGCCGAGTCCATTGCATGTTTCATGGGGTGAAGATGAGACACAGCACTGGCTTTTCTCCTGTGGGGTCAAAGGTGTCTCAACCGAGGTTCCTCTGTATGGATCATGCTTCCCCTCAGGGGTCTTTATGGGAGGGGATGGGCATCCTGAGGTACAATGCTCATGGCCACCTTCGTGGAAGACTTCACCTGTTGAGTCAAGGCGCCGCGTTGCATTGGTGGGTTTAACCAGAATCAGCCTCATGGCATCAATGCAGGGCTGAAATGACACCATACACTGATCATTTTTGAAATGTCACCAAGAAATGAAACAAAGATCCTGAAATATAACTGAAAACATTTACACTGATCACTTTGGTTTATTTATTTATTTTCCCCCACAAAGTTCAAGAAGTGGTGAAAAGACTCAACTGCAGAAGGAGTTCATACATTCAAACATTATTGATTATGCAGGAAGACAGATATGATGGATGTATGGGTGGATGGACAGATGAAGAGGGATATTTCAATGTGAACATGATTTGAATGTTGCAAGTGGTCAGACTTACTTATACAGTCATGTTAACTAATTACCCCCTTACTGCTTGCATAGCAATTGGAAAGTAAGTCACAGAAAGATGCTTTTAATCAAATCCAGTTAATTAACTCATCAGTAAGTGTGAGCACCTCTATAAAAGCAGATGTTTTGGCAGGTTGTTGGTCTGGAGTATTCAGGTGTGTGTTGACAGAACATTATAATCTACAGTCTTGTGCCAAAGGTCAGACTGCGCAATGCGCAGGCCTCATTTAGCATGTTAAATGTTACAGCAGAGGTGTCAAACATCGTGCTTGGGGGCTAGAATCAGCCTTGCAATGACTTCAATCTGGTCCACTGGATAGCTTTGGAAAATCAAAAATGTACGTTTTATAAATATAGGACAGTCTGGGTAGGGATGTACTAAAAATATTTTTGTAATTTTACAATTTAATCATGTAGGAAAACTGAGATGTACTGTTGAAAATGCACGTCTTTATCTTATATTAAACATGTCAGGGATAAGATGTGTAGTTAAACGTCTTTACACCAACAGAAAGTGAAAGTTTCTCTCATCCGGCCCACTTAAGATCAAAGTGGGCTGTATGTGGGCCTCAGTGTAAAATGAGTTTGACAGTTTCCCTGCGTTAGAGTGCACAATTAGAAAAAACTGAACAAGCGTAGCTTTTTTGAAAGTTTCAGTCTTTTGGACAGACGAGACCAAAGTAGACATGTTTAGCCATAATGTACGGCACCACAATTGGAGACAAACAAATACAGCATACCAACACAAACACCTCACACCAACTGTCAAACATGCTGGTGGAGGGGTGACAAACGGGACAAATTCTGTCTCACAGAAACAGCATCGTTCAGAGGACGGTGATCACAAGCACAGCAGCAAATCTACAAAAAATAAAAGAATCAAGATTTTGCAATGCACCGGTCAATATCCAGACCTCAACCCAACTGAAATGCTGTCAAGGGATCTTAAGAGAACACAGTGAAAACAAATGAAGGCAAACCTCAATGAAGTGACTCAACAATGTAAAGAATTATGGGTTTACAATTCCTCCACAGCGATGTGAGAGACTCATAAATGATTACTTCAAATTATTTCAGCTGAAGGTGGTTCTGCACTACAACCACGGAGAAATAACTAAAGCTGTCAAATTAATGTGGCAAGTTTCACATTGTATACAACTGAGTGGTTGTGAAAAATTACAGCATAGTAATAAGGTGTAACTAATCAATCCTGAAGTACCATAGGCTACTTAAGTAGATGAACTTTCCACAAAGAAATCGATACCGACTGACTCCAGAAATAAGATGTTTCACAACTCTTCTGTCATTTAGGAATCTTTAGCTTTAATGAGGCCATTTGTTCAGCATGAAAGGAAAAAAAGTTCATCAAAAATAAATCTTCAAATTCAGTCTAATAGATTTTTTTTTTAAACTTATTGCTTTTTAAAATAGTTATTCAAGGCAATCTGACACTAGATTAAAAAAAAACATGTTCAGTCACAGGTTTGTGTTTTTTCTAAGGATCTGTCACAAGCAGATGTGAACCCCCGCTCATGTTTATTTACTGCGCATCAAAATCAGAAAGCCTCAGATAATAATACTGAGCAGACTCACACACTACATTACACTATAGCTATATAACTACAGATATAGATTCGGAGTTACATTAGTATCTTTAAGGGTTTGGTTTTCTCTTTTTTTCCTCCTTTTACAGGGTTGAATTTTAGTTGTAGAAGAAGTTAGACCATTTCAAATTTTTAAGGATATGATTTTGTTGATTAATTGAATAAAATCTAAATTCACAATACAAAAATGTGCATATCCATCCAGCCAACTATCCATCAACAGACTCAATCAAATGGTAGACCCTTAAATAAACCTCTGAATATATAATAAATAGTCACTTATAAACAAAAGGCATCTGCAGCAGCTTACCTTTACCTCCTTTATGACTTCAGCCAGTCATTTCCAGGAGAGCACTTAGTGCACAAGTGCTCCTTACCATCTTCTTCCATACGTTACTTTTTTTCCAGACTTGAAGAAGCAGGTTACAGACGGAAAGTGCTCCTGATTTGCAGAACACAAGTGTTAAGAAGAAAAGGAGCAGTCAGAGTGGGTGTTGGACACGGCTTCCCTCCTCCCGGTACAAACACTCGATAAAGGAGCTTTAGAGACGCTTTCCTTTGAAAGTAATGATTAGAATTCAACACGAAGAAAGGAAAGGGCAGCAGCAGCTGGCCTGGTAAAGGGTTGCCAAGCAAAGACACAGAGTGGGAGGGTGCAGCAACAGGTTAGAGAAAAAAATCTGGAACATCAGACTGGCGTGTTAAGGCGGAACATCACACATATAGCTCAAAGACATTAAATGGGAGTGGGCTGCTGGGTTGACAGGGGAAAACAAAAAGGAAATTGTAGCTTTCAATGCAGAGCGGAATATAAAAGGTCAGTTGAAGTTGTCATTGAAGCTCTTTGGTTCAAAGGCCTTCGCACGTTCTCTTATCTCGTCCACCAGAAGAGCCTGCAGAACAAAAGTGCCCATTTTTAAATCTGGTTCTGAATCAATCGAGCTAGCGAGGGCGACGTCTCATCAATGGGGCACGAAAAGATCTAAGAAATGAAACTGCGCGAGCAATTTTATAATAAAAGTATATTTATATACATGTGGAGAAGTGTAACGTCCAAATTTACTTGGCAGGAGTGGTGTTGCTTTCTGACCTTGTTCCTCTCCGGTGTTGCTTATAGACATTGATGTTGTATTTGTATGTAGCCTATTATGTTTGTATTTAGAAATAAAAACCTGCAAAGTTTTGATAATTCTCAATGTGAAGAATTTGTCATTTATAAGCACACACAACATTGCCCAAAAAATTTATTTATTACAGTCTGTGGGAGAGCTATGTGCGAAAATCCCATTCCCCCAATATAAATACGCATTATAGTTTATATAATACTTATATTTAGGTAGCTTCAGCTCTGTTTTATCTGCGCTTACTGTCCATCCACCTGGCATCAGACGAACTCTGGCCTGCTGCCTCAGCAGCTCAGCGTGAATGTTGCTGTGCTGGAGAAAACCTTTGTGACCGCAGGAGCGCTGCTTGCTGTCACAGGCCAAATAAATGGCCGCCACAGTCATCTGAAAGCAACAACTGATACATGGACACAGTTGCATGAAAAGTATTTTCTCCCTTCCCGAGTTCTTATTTTTTCCATATTTGTCAAACTTAAGATTTTAATATTAGACAAAGATAACCTGAATACATTCAAAGTGCAGTCTTTAAATGACGATTTCATTTAAGGGTAAAAAGGTTATCCAAACCTACCTAAGGTAATTTCCCCTAAACTTAATAACTGGTTGTGCCATCTTCAGCAGCAAGAACTCCAATCAAGTGATTGGCAATGAACCATTCACATCACTGTGGAGGAATTTTGGCCCACTCGTCTTTGCAGAATTGTTTAAATTCAGGCACATTGGACGATTTCCAACCATGAAAATCCTCCATAGTCTTTTAAGGTCTTGCCAAAGCGCTTCCGTCTGATTTAAGTCACCACCACCATGGTGGTTTTATGTTCTTTTTAGAAAATGCTGTGTTAGCTTTATGTCAGATGTAGCGGGACTCTAACCTTCCAAAAAGTTCAACTTTTGTCTCGTCAGACCACACAACATTTTCCCAAAAGTCTCGGGGATGATCCAGATGTTTTCTGGCAAATGTGAGATGAAACTTTGTGTTCTTTTCGGTCAGCAGTGGTTTTCTCCTTGAACTCTCACGTGGATGTCATGTTTGCCCAGTCTGTTTCTTATTGTTGAATCATGAACTCCGACCTTAACTAAGTCTTTGCAATTCTTTCCAGACTGATAGATGACAGTGACTTTGTTTCTCAGGGGTTTCCTTAGATCAGAGGTGGTGAACTCCAGGCCTCAAGGGCTGGTGTCCTGCAGGTTTTAGATATCACCCTGGGTCACCACACCTGAATCAAATGATTAGTTCATTACCAGGCCTCTGGAGAACTTCAAGACATGTTGAGGAGGTAACTTAGCCATTTAAATCTGCTGTGTTGGATCAAGGACACATCTGAAACCTGCAGGACACCGTCCCTTGAGAGTTTCCCCACCCCTGCATGCCTCATGGCATGATGTGTTGATTTTTGACCTTTTTTAGCCTGCTTCACTTTGTCAGACAGGTTCTATTTAAGTTAGTTCTTAATTTAACAGGTCTGACAGAAATCAGGCCAGGATTAAAAACATTTTGTATTTTCTCCAGTTAAGAAGAAATGTGACAAATGTGACAAATATGCAAAAAACTAAGAGATTATGAAGGAGATAAATACTTTTTCACGAGATTAAAGGCCTAAAGTGGAGAAAACTTGGACAGTAGAAACTCCTCTGGGAATTAATTAATAA